AAATACAAAAAAATAGCTGGGCATGGTGGCACGTGCCTATAATCCCAGCTACTCAGGAGGCTGAGGCAGGAGAATTGCCTGAACCCAGGAGGCGGAGGTTGCGGTGAGTCGAGATCGCACCATTGCACTCCAGCCTGGGTAACAAGAGCGAAACTCCATCCCAAAAAAAAAAAAAAAAAAAACACCTTAAAGTTGAGGTTGGTTAGTTCCTGTTGTGGGGTGTGAGGGCCAGATGCTAGTGGTTGAAGTTTTTTTCCTAATATCCGGGCACATAGGGTAATCAAGTGCATATTAAGCATTCTTCATTCTTCACTGGTGTGAGTAGAAGTAAGGATGACATTTAAATCACTCCAGGTGAGATTGTAGGGCTGCATTAAGTATTGGAGGATCCGATGAAAAGGAGCTTAGGCGTTGGCAGATTTGGAAAAGGTTGGATAAAGAAAAAGGAACATGCACCCTTACTGTGCCTTTGGCTTCAGCCACCTCTCAAGGGGGGAATTGTTGGGCAGGGATAGAGGAGTTAGGCTCAGGACTAAACTGTAAGCCGGATCGCGATGACTTGTGGAGGTGACAGGAGGAGCATGAGGGGTTGTAGGCAGAGGAAGAGGAGGGAGGCTCTGGGGGCGGGGTTGGGCCTGAATTGGGGCCTGGGTCAGACAGGCAGGGAGGAGAACGGTCAGAAGGGTCAATAGACAAGGAAGATTCTTGGTTCCTGTTGGAGGCAGGAGGGCTGGACACAAGGGAGAGAAGGAGCAGTGATCAGGGGATTAGAATATAAAAAAAAAATATCTGGACGTCTGGTACCTTAGACCATTTTCCCATTTGTGGACAAAAATTGTCTAGGTCTCACAGAAGACAGGAATAGAAAGTGCCGTTTTTTGGTCATTTGGATTGAGGCCAGGCTGTGTTACAGAGACCTTTAGGTTTCAGATCAGGCAACAGTTGAAGAGGTTTTAGGTTTTATAGAAAGCCAGCTAGAGTTTAGGATTGAGGAATAGAGGGGGCTGAGTGTTGCCCATAGTGAAGGAGGTAAGTTTTAAGGAAAGTAGTAGAGTAGAGATGAAGAGAAGGAGTGAGCAGCCACCAGCGTTTTGAGTAGGCATTCCTGACTGGTTCCTGGGCTGTAACATGGGTGAGTGAGCAAGGCAGGAGTCCCCACGATTGACCAGACCCCAAGGGAAGAGACTTGTCTTCTCTGGCTCTACACAGATAGAGAGTGTCTCTTTATCTCTACCACAAGGAGAAATATTTCAAGAAAAAGAGAAAGAGGGAGAGACTTGTCTCCTTGGGATTTTAAGGAAAAGAGAGAGAAAGAGGGGAGACGGCTTATCCCATCTGAAGGTGGCAAGAGAGCTGTGGAGGCCTCAGGTGGGTCTCTTCCCAGAGGGGGAACAGGGACAGGGGACTGGTCTCCCCAAGGGAGTACCCCTGTCCCAGGTTTTGGCCCCAGATGTTAAAACGAGCATTCTGAATGAAGAGACCCCCAAACAGGCTTTGCGTGAGAAACATGGCTGTTTATTCGCCTGGGTGCAGGTGGGCTGAGGCCAAAAGTGGTGTCAGCTGAGGGCCGTGAAATAAGAGTTGGTTTTCTGCCGGGCGCGGTGGCTCAAGCCTGTAATCCCAGCACTTTGGGAGGCCGAAGCGGGTGGATCACGAGGTCAAGAGATCAAGACCATCCTGGTCAACATGGTGAAACCCCGTCTCTACTAAAAAAAAAAAAATACAAAAAATTAGCTGGGCATGGTGGCGCGTGCCTGTAATCCCAGCTACTCAGGAGGCTGAGGCAGGAGAATTGCCTGAACCCAGGAGGCGGAGGTTGCGGTGAGCCGAGATCGCACCATTGTACTCCAGCCTGGGTAACAAGAGCGAAACTCTGTCCCCAAAAAAAAAAAAGAGCTGGTTTTCCAGGTTTGGGGTGGGCAGCAGAAACTTATAGAAGTTACAGTTGGTGTTTTCTTGCAAGCTGGGAGTGGGGGGCGCTGGTGTGTGGAGTCAGGAGGTTGGCCAACGTCCCTTAGAAAGTCCAATGGCCTTGTAAATTGAGGCTGGTTTAAGAAGCAATAGAGAATGTCTCAGAGTTAAGTAGGTGCCACAGAGGTTGAACATTTCTTCCTCCTGTTAGGATTTTACAACCATTTCAGGTTTTCTAATTCCAGAAAGCACTACAGGGGTGTACATGCAGTTCATGGGAGTTGCCATGCTGTCCACAGCGTGGTCAGACATTACAACACTTGCATATTTCTTTTGATTAGTGTTAGAATGACTTACCTTTTGCATACCTTTTTATGTAATCTGTCCATATCTTTCTGTTTGAAATGATTTTCTTTTACACATTACTGACCCTTGTTTCTTTACTGTGTCAATCTCTCTTTTTTGTGTATATGAATAATAGAGATTTAAAGTGGTAATTGATATAGTTGTATTAATATGTATATATGTAATTGTTCTCTGTTGTACTTTCCATCTATTTTTCAAACTTTCTCTTTTTCTACCTTGTGTAGTTTTTGTTTATTCCTTTGTTCTTTGAGACAGAGTCTCGCTCTGTTGCCCAGCCTGGAGTATAGTAGTGTGGTCTCATCTCAATGCAACCTTTACCTCCTCCTGGAGTCAAAGGATTCTTATCCTTCAGTATCGCAAGTAGCTGGAATTATAGGCATATGCCAGCATGTACGGCTAATTTTTCTATTTTTAGTAGAGACGGGAGTTTCACCATGTTGGCCAGGCTGGTCTTGAACTCCTGACCTCAAGTGATCCACCCGCCTTGGCCTCCCAAAGTGCTGGGATTACTGGCGTAAGCCACCTTGCCTGGCCCCAGAGTTTTTTTCATGGCCGTTTCAGTATGTTTCATGTTAGTTAGAAAAGAATACCTGAAAGTGGGTAATACATAAGACATTATATTTGTTTTGTACATTTCTGGAGTTTGGGAAGTCTAAGGGTATGGGTGCACATCTGGGGAAAGCCTTGCTGGTAGGGACTCTTCTCCATCTGAAGCAATGGAGGGAGGGTTTTCCTTGGGGGGCGCTGATTGTGCTAGCTGGCATCTTGGCCTCTTCTTTGAAGACAACCAGTCTTACTCCAGGATGTCCCATTAACTCATTAAACCTTTAGTCCATCAGTGAATTAATCCATTCATAAGGCAGAGCCCTCATGACACAATCACCTCTTCAAGGCCTGACTTTTCAATACTGATACATTGGTGATGAAATTTCACTATGAGTTTTGGGGGTACAAACATTCAAACCTAGAAGTGGCTGATCACGTATGTTCCTCTTCTGTTTATGCAACAAAATTTAAAACTCTCAGAAGATAAGATGGAAATTAAGCAAGTACTATTTTATTTATTTATTTATTTTTGAGATTGAGACTCACTCTGTTGCCAGGCTGCAGTACAGTGGTACAATCTCAGCTCACTGCGCCTCTGCTTCCCAGGTTCAACCCATCCTCCTGTCTCAGCCTTATGAGTAGCTGGAACTACAGGTGCATGCCACCACGTCCAGCTAATGTTTGTATTTTTAGTAGAGATGGGATGTCACTATGTTGGCCAGGATGGTCTCAATCTCTTGACCTCGTGATCCACCCATCTTAGCCTCCCAAAGAGCTGGGATTACAGGCGTGAGCCACCATGACCTGCCCTTTATTTATTTTTCAATTTAATTTGAGACAGGATGTCACTCTGTCACCCAGCCTGGAGTTCAGTGACATACGCATGGCTCACTGCAGCCTCCACCTTCTAGGCTCAAAGAATCCTCTCAGCTCAGCCTCCCTAGTAGCTGGGACTACAGGCATGTGCCATTATGCCTGCCTAATTTTTCTATATTTTGTCGAGATGGGGTTTCAACATGTTGCCCAGACTTACCTTGAACTTTTGAGCTTGAGCAATTCTCTCATCTCAGCCTCCCAAAGTGCTAGCATTACAGGCGTTAGGCACTATGCCCAGTGGCAAATATTATACTGTTTGAATAAATAGTTTAGGCATACACAGCTTCTTTTCTTTGTTATGTTGGTGCAGCTCTCCTTCAATCTGGCTGTGAGATATCATCATAGTCCAACTTTCTTTTTTTTTTTTTTGAGATGGAGTTTTGCTCTTGTTACCCAGGCTGGAGTGCAATGGCGCGATCTTGGCTCACCACAACCTCCGCCTCCTGGGTTCAGGCAATTCTCCTGCCTCAGCCTCCCGAGTAGCTCAGACTACAGGCATGCGCCACCATGCCCAGCTAATTTTTTGTGTTTTTAGTAGAGAAGGGGTTTCACCATGTTGATCAGGATCCACCCATCTCGGCCTCCCAAAGTGCTGGTATTATAGACGTGAGCCACCGCGCCCAGCCCATAGTCCAACTTTCTAAATAAGCAAGTATAGGGATGTGTCTCACAACTGCTAATATTATGTCTTTTTTTTTTTTTTTTTTGAGACAAGTCTCTGTTTTTAGGCTTAAGTGCAGTGGTGTAATCTCAGCTCATTGCAAGCTTCGTTTCTCGGGTTCAAGCAATTTTCCTGCTTCAGCCTCCCCAGTAGCTGGGACTACAGTCACGTGCCACCATGCCCAGCTAATTTTTGTATTTTTAGTAGAGACAGCATTTCCCCATATTGGCCAGGATGGTCTTTATCTCTTGATCTCGTGATGTACTTCGCAGCCTCCCAAAATGCTGGTACTACAGGCCTGAGCCACCACCCCTGGCTAATATTGTGTCTCATATACGAGTTAGACACAGACAGTACGAATACAGAGAGACACTAGAGGTGATCCGGGCAGCATATCTCACTTCTGAAATAGTGAATGAGAGGCTTGTTCATCTTGGCTGTCACTTTACTGAATATGTTGAGTTCTAGCATCAGAATTGCTATGTTGGAGAAAGTAAGTATAGACAGAGGACAAGAGTATCATGACCAAGTCATTGAATAAATTTGTGGAGTCTATAGCATTGTGTGAACTTCTTCTTAAGTGTAGATTCCTAGCACTGTGGGTCTTAACCTTCCTCCTCTGCCCTGGGGGATGTTTCAGGACTCAGTGACCTTTGAGGATGTGGCTGTGAGGTTTACCCAGGATGAGTGGCCTCTGCTGGATCCTTCCCAAAAGAATCTCTACAGAGATGTGATGCAGGAAACCATCAGGAACCTGAAGTCTCTAGGTAAGGATGACATCATTTCTTCTTGAGTCAAATAGAGAACAAGTGTTTCTTGGTCATCTACACTGTTCAGTGATTTGGAACATGGTAGGGAATACAGTAGACTGGCCAGGTGCAGTGGCTCACACCTGCAATCTTAGCACTTTGGGAGGCCAAGGTGGGTGGAACACTTGAGGTCAGGAGATCGAGACCGATATGGCCAACATGATGAAACCCCTTCTCTACTACAAATACAAAAATTATCCAGGTGTTGGCCGGGCGCGGTGGCTCAAGCCTGTAATCCCAGCACTTTGGGAGGCCGAGGCGGGTGGATCACGAGGTCAAGAGATCGAGACCATCCTGGTCAACATGGTGAAACCCCATCTCTACTAAAAATACAAAAAATTAGCTGGGCATGGTGGCACATGCCTGTAATCCCAGCTACTCAGGAGGCTGAGGCAGGAGAATTGCCTGAACCCAGGAGGCGGAGGTTGCGGTGAGCCAAGATCGCGCCATTGCACTCCAGCCTGGGTAACAAGAGTGAAACTCCGTCTCAAAGGAAAAAAAAAAAAAAAAGAAGGCTTAGACAGGAGAATCACTAACCTGGGAGGTGAAGTTTGCATTGAGCCGAGATCAAACCACTGCATTTCAGTCTGGACAACAAGAGCAAAAATCTGTCTCAATAACACAAGTAGTCAGTTAATACATAATTTATATATTGGTGTATATGTGTAAACATACATGAGGATAGTGTCTCATGTTACTAAGGCTGGAATGTAGGGGCATGATCATAGCTCACTGCAACGTCGTACTCCTAGGCTCAAGCAGTCCTCCTGCCTTAAACTCTTTTTTTTTTTTTTTTTTTTTTTTTGAGACGGAGTTTCGCTCTTGTTACCCAGCCTGGAATGCAATGGCACGATCTCGGCTCACCGCAACCTCCGCCTCCTGGGTTCAGGCAATTCTCCTGTCTCAGCCTCCTGAGTAGCTGGGATTACAGGCATGCACCACCATGCCCAGCTAATTTTTTGTATTTTTAGTAGAGACGGGGTTTCACCTTGTTGACCAAGGTTGGTCTCTATCTCTTGACCTTGTGATCCACCCGCCTCGGCCTCCCAAAGTGCTGGGATTACAGGCTTGAGCCACCACGCCCGGCTGCCTTAAACTCTTGAGTAGCCATGACTGCAGACAAATTTCACTATGCTGGGCTGATTTTTAAATTATATTTTTTGGAGATGTGTGTCTTGCTATGTTGCCCAGGCTGGTCTCAAACTCCTGGCCTAAAGCAGTCCTCCCACCTTATCCCTAAGTGCTGGGATGATAGATATAAACCACAGTGCCTCCCTGTTTGGTTTATTATATTTGGTATTCTTACAATAAAGTAAGCTATAGAAAAGAAATGTTAAAGTAAATCATAAAGAAGTAAAAACATATTGACTATTGATTAAGTGGATCATCCTAAAGGAATCCTTTTTGCTGGGCACAGTGGCTGACGCCTGCAATCCCAGCACTTTGGAGAGCCAAGGTGGGTGGATCACGAGGTGAGGAGTTTGAGACCAGCCTGACCAATATGGTGAAGCCCCATCTCTAGTATAAATACAAAATTAGCTGGGCGTGATGGGTCATGCCTGTAATCCTAGCTACTCAGGAGGTTGAGGCAGGAGAATTGCTTGAACCCGGGAGGTAGAGGTTGCAGTGAGCTGAGAACGTGCCACCGCACTCCAGCCTGCACTACAGAGTGAGACTAAACAAAACAAACAGAACAAAACTGAGTACCCTGAAGAAGAGGAAGAGTTGGTCTTGTTCCCACACAGGTAGTGAAGGTTGAGAAAAGTCTGCATATGACTGAACCTGTGCCATTCAAGCCCTCCGCCTTTTTTTTTTTTTTTCTTTAAACAGAGTTTCCCTTTTGTTGCTAAGGGTGGTGTATAATGGTGCAATCTCAGCTCACTGGAACCTCCACCTCCTGCATTCAAGCAATTCTCTTGCCTCAGCCTCTCAAGTAGCTGGGATTACAGGCACTCGCTACCATGCTCAGCTAATTTTTTGTATTTTTAGTAGAGACAGGTTTCTCCGTGTTGGTCAGGGTGGTTTTGAACCCCCACCCTGAGGTGACCCATCCTCCTCGTCCTCCCAAACTGCTGAGATTGCAGGCATAACCCACCGCACCCAAACTCAAACCAATTTTGTTTAAGGGTCAATAATACGTTGTTGAATAACTCATGCATGGCAATAGTGTTCCATGAGCATAGAATAAAAAAAGTTTGTATAATTTTGTTATAATTTATGATAATTTTTTTGGGACCACATTTTAGGAATAAAATGGAAAGACCAGAACATTGAAGATCATTGCAAAGATTCCAGGAGAAATCTAAGGTAATTTGCATTTACAACGTAAAGCTGTGTCTCTTGAGATAATGTCAGAATGATAGAAAATTATATTTGTTTACTTATCTATCTTTTTTTTTTTTTTCTTTTTTAAGACGGGGTTTCACCATGTTGGTCAGGCTGGTCTTGAACTCCTGACCGCAGGTGATCTGCCCACCTTGGCCTCCAAAGTGCTTGGATGCTTGGATTACAGGTGTGAGCCACCACGCCTGGCCTCTTTTTTTTTTTTTTTTTTTTTTTTTTTGAGACCGAGTTTCGCCCTTGTTACCCAGGCTGGAGTGCAATGGCGCATCTCGGCTCACCGCAACCTCCACCTCCTGGGCTCAGGCAATTCTCCTGCCTCAGCCTCCTGAGTAGCTGGGATTACAGGCACGTGCCACCATGCCCAGCTAATTTTTTTGCACTTTTTAGTAGAGACGGGGTTTCACCATGTTGACCAGGATGGTCTCGATCTCTCGACCTCGTGATCCACCCGCCTCGGCCTCCCAAAGTGCTGGGATTACAGGCTTGAGCCACCGTGCCCGGCGGGAATATATTTCTTTATTTGAGACATGGCTTACTCTGTCACACAGGCTAGAGTGCAGTGGCATGATAGCTCACTGCAGCCTTGAACCCCTGGACTCAAGCCATCCTCCTTTCTTGGCCTCCCAAAATGCTAGGGTTACAAGCATGAGCCAGTGTGCTCCGTGGAAATTCAAAGAACAAGCACACAAAGTGAAGCGGCCCAGCTTCAAATTTGTTAAGTTTTAGAATGTCTTCTCCCAAATTATGTAGTTCAGTGTGACATAGACATTCATTGTTTGCAAAACAATTGCCTTGGAAACAGCATTAAGAATCACCATAGTTGCCAGATGTGGTCGCTCACTCTTGCAATGCCAGTACTTTGGAAGTCTGAATGGGAGGATTGCTTGAGCCCGGGAGTTTGAGTCCAGACTGGGCAATGCAGTGAGAACTCATCTCCAGAAGAAATTTGAAAAATTAGACAGGTGTGGTGACACATGTCTGTGGGCCCAGCTACCTGCAAGGCTGAGGTAGGAGGTTTGCCTGAGACTGGAAGATGGAGGCTGCAGTGAAGTATGATCACACCACTGTCTTGCAGCCTGGGCAACAGAGTGAGAGACTGTTTCAGGAAAAAGAAAGGGAGGGAGGGAGAGAAGGAAAGAAAGAAGGAAACTACCTACCACCATCACTCCTTTGATAATAGCTGTAATGGAGCCCCTTTGCAGAGAATTCAATCCACTCACTTTCAAACAATTCAGACATGGCATAAAGCCTACATTTCTCATGATAAAGTAAAATATGTAAATCAAATGCTAATGTAAAATTATTTATCAACACAATTTTTGTAATGTGCTTCTTATTTCTTATAGAAATCATATGGCAGAGAGGCTCTGTGAATGTAAAGATGGTCAATGTGGAGAAACTTTCAGCCTGATTCCAGATGCTATAATGAACAAGAAGACTTTTCCTGGGGCAAAACCACGTGAAAGCCGTGTATGTGCAGAAGGCAACATGGATCATTCATCTCTGAATTGCTGCATCGGAGCTGACACTGGACACAAACCATGTAAGTGTCGGGAACATGGAGAGAAGACACATAAACGTAAGCAGTGTGTAAAAGCCTTCAGCTGTCTCCGCTCCTTTCAAACACATGAAAAGCCTCACACTGGAGAGAAAGCCTATGATTGTAAGGAATTGAAAAAAACCTTCATTTCTCTCAAAACTGTTCAAAGACACAGGGTAATGCACAGTGGAGATGGACCTTACACATGTATTTGTGGGAAAGCCTTTGTTACTCTCAGTCTAAACCTCACACATGAAAGATCTCATACTGGACAGAAGCCATATAAATGTAATGAATGTGGGAAAGCCTTTGATTGTCTCAGCCATTTTCATAGACATGAAAGAACACACACTGGGGAGAAGCTGTATCAATGTAAGCAGTGTGGGAAAGCCTTTAATCGTTCCAGTAATATCCGAGCACATGCAAAAATTCACACTGGAGAGAAACCGTATGAATGTAAGCAATGTGGGAAAGCCTTTCATAGTTGGAGTTCTGTTCGAAAACATGCAAAAATTCACACCGGAGAGAAACCATATGAATGTAAGCAATGTGGGAAAGCCTTTACTCGTCCCAGTTCAATTCAACGACATGCAAGAATTCACACCGGAGAGAAACCATATGAATGTAAGCAATGTGGGAAAGCCTTTACTCGTTCCAGTTACATTCGAACACATGCAAGAATTCACAGTGGAGAGAAACCCTATGAATGTAAGCAATGTGGGAAAGCCTTTATTCAGTCCAGTGCCTTTCAAACACATATAAGAATTCACACTGGAGAGAAACCTTATCAGTGTAAGCAATGTGGGAAAGGCTTTAGTTTACCCAGTAACGTTAGAATACATGCAAGAATTCACACTGGAGAGAAACCCTATGAATGTAAGCAGTGTGGGAAAGCCTTTTCTTCTCTCAGTTCCTTTCGGTATCATGAAAGGACTCAACACTGGAGAGAAACCCTGTGAATGTAAGCAATGTGGAAAAGGCTTTCTTCAATCCGGTTCCATTCAAAAGCATGCAATAATTCACACTGGAGAGCAATCCTATGAATATAAGTAATCTGGGAAAGCCTTTAGTTGTTTCAGTTCCATCTGAACACAGTCAAGAATTCACATTGGAGAGAAACCCTGTGAATGTAAGCAATGTGGGGAAACCTTTAGTTGTTCCTGTTCCATTGGAACACATGCAAGAATTGACATTGGAGAGTAACTATATGTATGTAAGCAATGTGGGAAAGCCTTTAGTCTCAGTTCCATTCAAACACATTAAGAATTCACAGTGGAGAGAAACCCTACGAATGACAGCAATGTGGGAAAGCCTTCACATATTTCGGTTCACTTCAAGTGCATAAAAGAATTCACACTGGAGAGAAGCCATATGAATATAAAACCTCTGGGAAAGCCTTCAGTCATATCACTTCCTTTCACAGACATAAAATTGTCCACACTGCAGAGGAACCTTATGAATATAAATGTGCAAAAGCCTTCAGTTATCACAATGCTTTTCACAGACATAAAATTACCCATACTGCAGAGAAACTTTGAATGTAAGGAATGTGGGAAAGCCTTCTGTTATCACAGTTCCCTTCAAAGATATGAAAGGCCTGACAGTGGAGAAAAGTTTTATAAAAAGTGTAGGCCAGCACTGTATCACTTCTGTAATCCCAACATTTTGGGAGGCCAAGGTAGGTGGATCCCGACCAGCCTGGACAAGATGGTGAAACACCATCTCTACTAAAAATACAAAAATTAGCTGGCCATGGTGGCAAGTGCCTGTAATCTCAGCTACTCAAGAGGCTGAGGCAGAGAATTGCTTGAAACCAGGTGGCAGAGGTTGCACTGAGCTGAGATCACGCCACGGTACTCCAGCCTGGTGACAGAGTGAGACTCCATCTCAAAAACAAAGAAAAAAAGTAAAGCCTTTTACTTTTCCATTATGTTATGAAACCATGAAGGTACTCACACTTGAAATAAACAATGATGTTAGGAACATGGGAAGCCTTTCCTTTCTCTCTCAATTCTTTGAAGGCACACGATGTAACACACTGGCGATAGACCTCATAACTGTCAGGAACATGGAATATGGTTTGTCCTTGTTTATTTTAGATACATGAAAGAATTTACGCTGGAGAGAAACTGAATGTAAATAAAGAATGTGGTAAAGCCTTGTGTAGTTTCTGTTTCTCTAAAATACTGTTATTTCCTGGTATTCTCAAGGTGTTGGTTGCAGCACTTCATCAGAATATCTAAATCTGAAGATGCTCACGTGCTTTATATAAAATGGTGTATTTTCCTAGCATGTAAGCATACCTTCCTGTATAGTTTAAGTAATCTATAGGTTATTTGTAATGTCTAATGCATTGTAAATGATGTAAAAGTGGTTGTTTCGTTGTTATTTTGAAGGAATGTATTAACTTCTCTTCCTGGGTCTATAAGGGGTATGGTTTCAAAGGCAAGAACTTCCCAGCTACATGCCTGACCTGCCTTCATTTATGTCTCCCGTTTGGGAGCCTAGAGTTCTTTGTCTAATTTTTGTCCTGGAGGGAAGGTAACCTGCCCAGGTGAGCTTCTTTGGTTTAGAAAGCCTGTGAAAAGCTGTGGGAGGACTGTGGGCCAATCAGTCAATTAGATGTCAAAGATGAGTTATTTCAGCGGAAGTTTGAAAGAACTCTCACTGGACAACAACTAGAATGGGGCAGGAGTAACTCCCAGGTTAAAAGTCCCCTTCTCCCTAACCTGTGTGGACTTCATCTCTGGATCTCCACCCATGACAGCGTGGGAGCTTGCTTGCTCTATTTCTCTTTCTCTCTCTCTCTCTGCCTAATGAATCACTTTCTGCAAACTTTTTTGGGTTCAATATTGAACAGTGTCACCACACCAGGGCCTCCTACCCATCCTTTGGTGGATAAGAGCCCAAGGACCTGGAAAAAAAAAAGTGGGATTGGGGAACAGTGAGTACCACATCTGGTCACAGTTCTGACAAGAAAAAACATCTGTAGATGTTTAATACATATAACCATCACAGGCCCACCTCTATAGTACATAATGGTATATGTCCACTACAGTGAAACATTCTTTTTCCTGAGGATTCTGGCACTGTTGCCCAGGCTAGAGTACAACAGGCTGATCTTGGCTCACCGCAACCTCTGCCTCAAGATCATGTGATTCTCCTGCCTCAGCCTCCCAAATAGCTGGGATTATAGGCGCCCATCACCACACCAGGCTAATTTGTATTTTTAGTACAGATGGGGTTTCACTATGTTGTCCAGACTGTTCTCAAACTCATGACTGTGATCCACCCACCTCAGCCTTCCAAAGCGCTGGGATTACAGGCATGAGTCACCACACCTTGCCAACATTTTTTTTGTTCTTAAAGAAATACAGGCTGGGTGCGGTGGCTCAAGCCTGTAATCCCAGCACTTTGGGAGGCTGAGGCGGGTGGATCACGAGGTCAAGAGATCGAGACCATCCTGGTCAACATGGTGAAACCCTGTCTCTACTAAAAATACAAAGAATTAGCTGGGCGTGGTGGCGTGTGCCTGTAATCCCAGCTACTCAGGAGGCTGAGGCAGGAGAATTGCCCGAACCCAGGAGGCGGAGGTTGCAGTGAGCCGAGATCGCGCCATTGCACTCCAGCCTGGGTAACGAGCGAAACTCCGTCTCCAAAAAAAAAAAAAAAAAAAAAAAATTCTCGGCCGGGCGCAGTGGCTCAAGCCTGTAATCCCAGCACTTTGGGAGGCCGAGGTGGGTGGATCACAAGGTCAAGAGATCGAGACCATCCTGGTCAACATGGTGAAACCCCGTCTCTACTAAAAATACAAAAAATTAGCTGGGCATGGTGGTGCGTGCCTGTAATCCCAGCTACTCAGGAGGCTGAAGCAGGAGAATTGCCTGAGCCCAGGAGGCGGAGGTTGCGGTGAGCCGAGATCGCGCCATTGCACTCCAGCCTGGGTAACAAGAGCGAAACTCCGTCTCAAAAAAAAAAAAAAAAAAAATCTCATTTTTGTTCCCATAGCCTGTGTAGTAAGTTTCTCAGCTCTTTTATTGAGTGATTTCAAATGGAATTCTGGGTCTTAGCATGAAAATACTACCAGGGAAAAGAAATAGGGAAAAAACTCTTTCATTTTGGTTACAGAAAAAATGAGTTTTTTTCTACAAGCAAGTGTGGTGGAGTATACTGGTGGATTACAAATATGTAGCATAATCTCAGTTCTCCTTTGTAGCTTGGAGAATTTGTGACAGTGGATAAGTTTGTTTCCTGTTATGTGAACTTGGCTGATGAATGCTAAATCCTGTGGTACAGCGTTTCACACCTAGAAGTACTCAATGATTTTTTGTGTACTATATGATTATTAGGGAAATAGTAAATCTGTGAAAAGAACACACTCAAAGGGCTTTTTCATGGCCGGGCGTGGTGGCTCACGCCTGTAATCCAAGCACTTTGGAGGCCAAGGCGGGCAGGTCACCTGAGGTCAGGAGTTCAAGACCAGCGTGACCAACATGGTGAAATCCCGTCTTTTTTTTTTTTTTTTTTTTAAATAAAGGGCTTTTTCTGTTCTGTCAGTAACAACAATTAACACAGAAGACTTTTTGACCAAAAGTGTGGGTTTTCTTCCTTCCAAAAGGCAAGCAGGTTATTCTGCTGTGGACAGCAACTAGGTGTCTTCCAATTCAGTTTTGACATTACCTACGTGGAGATAGCTGCAGAGCCCACAGATTGATGGCTTGGTCCCCACATCCCTCCCTCCTTGCCCTCCACTTCCTACCATTCAGGTATCAGTGGTAAGTCTGGGCCTCTGGAAATTATAACCCACAGGTTTCAAGTGTGAGTTCCTGTGCTCTCTTTGGGTTTAACTAACTTATTGTGGCTCACAGAACTCATGGAAACACATCTTCAGTAGCTTCTTTCATTTCTTTACTTTTTTTAATTTTCAGATGGTGTCTTGCTTTGTCACCATGCTGGAGTCCAGTGGCGCAATCTCGGCTCACTGCAACCTTCCACTCCCTGGTTGAAGCTACTCTTGGGCCTCTGCCTCTTGAGTAGCTGGGATTACTGGGGTGCATCATCATACCTGGCTAATTTTTGTAATTTTAATACAGACAGCGTTTCACAATGTTGGCCAGGCTACTCTCAAACTCCTGTCTTCAAGAGATCTGCCCATTTCAGCCTCCCAAAATGCTGGAATTATAGGCATCAACCAGCGTGTCAGGCTACCTCTTTTCTTTATAAATCACCAGCTTTAGATATTTCTTTGCAGCAGTGCAAAACAGATTAACACATACATTAAATAGAAATGGTGAAGGTGGGCATTCTTTTGTTCCTGGTATTAGAGGAAAAGGTGTCAGTCTTTCACCACTGAACATATTACCTGTAGGATTTTCATACATGGCATTATTCTATTAAGAAAGTTTCGGCCGGGCGCGGTGGCTCAAGCCTGTAATCCCAGCACTTTGGGAGGCCGAGGCGGGTGGATCACGAGGTCGAGAGATCGAGACCATCCTGGTCAACAAGGTGAAACCCCGTCTCTACTAAAAATACAAAAAGTTAGCTGGGCATGGTGGTGCGTGCCTGTAATCCCAGCTACTTAGGAGGCTGAGGCAGGAGAATTGCCTGAGCCCAGGAGGCGGAGGTTTCGGTGAGCCGAGATCGCGCCATTGCACTCCAGCCTGGGTAACAAGAGCGAAACTCCGTCTCAAAAAAAAAAAAAGAAAGTTTCATTACATTTCTAGTTTTTTGTTCATTTGTTTTTCATTTTTTGGGTTTTTTTGGAGACAGACTTTTGCTCTTGTTGCCCAGGCTAGAGTGCAATAGCATGATCTCTGCTCACTGCAACCTCTGCCTCCTGGGTTCAAGGGATTCTCCTGTGTTTCACAGTGCTGAGATTATAGGTGACAGTCACTGCACATGTCCTGTTTCTAGTTTACTGAGTGTATTTTATAAAGTTAAGAAAGGATATTGAATTTTGTTAAATTATTTTTCTGTATCAATTGAAATGATAACTGAGTTTTTTTCCTTCTTGCCATTAAGGTTGTCTATTACATTGGTTCGTTTTTGTTAAACCGTCTTTGCATTCTGATTATAAATCCCATGTTTATCATCTTTTTAATACCTTGCTGAATTTCTTTTGATAGTCTTTGGTTAAGGATTTATGCTTTAATATGCATAAATGATATTGGTCTCTAGTTTTTAATTGTCTTGTAGTGTCTTCATCTGGCTTTCATACCAAAGTGAAGCTAGCCTTACAAAATGAATTAAAAAGTGTATCCTGGGCCGGGCGCGGTGGCTCAAGCCTGTAATCCCAGCACTTTGGGAGGCCGAGGCAGGTGGATCACGAGGTCGAGAGATCGAGACCATCCTGGTCAACATGGTGAAACCCCGTCTCTACTAAAGGTGCAAAAAATTAGCTGGGCATGGTGGCGTGTGCCTGTAATCCCAGCTACTTAAGAGGCTGAGGCAGGAGAATTGCCTGAGCCCAGGAGGCGGAGGCTGCGGTGAGCCGAGATCGCGCCATTGCACTCCAGCCTGGGTAACAAGAGCGAAACTCCGTCTCAAAAAAAAAAAAAAAAAAAAAAAAAGTGTATCCTGTCCTTTAATTTTGTTTACTTTCTTTTCATTCTTTTTTTTCTTTCTTTTTTTTTTGAAACAGCATCTTGCTCTGTCACCCAGGCTAGAGTACAGTGGCACAATCTTGGCTCACTGCAACCTCCACCTCCTGGGTTCGGGCGATTCTCCTGCCTCAGCCTCCCAAGTAGCTGGGATTATAGGCGCCCACCACAACACCCAGCTAATTTTTGTATTTTTAGTAGAGATGGGATTTCACCATGTTGGCTAGGCTGGTCTACTCATGACCTCAGTTGATCCTTCTACTTTGGCCTCCCAAAGTGCTGGAATTACAGGTGTGAGCCACTGTGCCTGGCCTGAAACTATTTTAATATTTGCCTGACAATCATGTGGAATTAATGGGGTTCTTTATCGTCAGATTGGATAGTAGATTCGCCAGATTTAAGGGCACAGTGTGGGCTGGGCACGGTGGCTCATGCCTGTAATCCTAGCACTTTGGGAGGCCAAGGTGGGTGGATCACCAGAGGTCAGGAGTTCAAGACCAGCCTGGCCATCATGGTGAAACCCCATCTTAAAAAAAAAATTAATAAATTTAAAAAAAGGGAACAGTGTCAGATATGTAGATTTACAGGACAGAATTGAGAGTCCAGAAATAATCCCCTTTGCCATGGTTTGAATGCTTGTGTCCCTTCCAGAATTTACAGGTTGGAACTTAAACCCCATTGCAGCACTGTTGAGAGATGGGACCTTTTGGTGTTTAGGTAATGGTGATGACTCTGCTGTCTTGAGTAGATTTTTTTTTTTTGGAGATGGAGTCTCCCCTAGCCATCCAGGCTCCAGTGCAGTGGCAAGATCTCCATTCACTGCAACCACCGTCTCCCAGGTTGAAGCGATTCTTCTGTCTCAGCCTCTCAAGTAGCTGGGATTACAGACACCCACAATCATGACCAGCTAATTTTTGTATTTTAGTAGAGACAGTTTCACCATGTTGGCCAGGCTTGTCTTGAACTCCTGACCTCAGGTGACCCACCTGCCTCAGCCTCCCAAAGTGCCAGGATTACAGGCATGAGCCACCATGCTTGGCCTATCTTAAGTAGATTAATACTTATAAAGGGCTTGATGAATGGGGACAAGGTCCCCTCCTGCCCTTCTTTCTTCTGCGCTGTGAGGACACAGCATTACTGTCCTCAGGAAGATGCAGCAGGAGGGCTGTCACAGACTGCCAGAACCTTCTTTTTGGATTTCCCCGCCCCATGAACTGTGGGAAAAAACACTTTGGTTGTTTATAATATTGCTCAATCTGTGGTATTTCATTATAGCAGCAGAAATGGACTGAGACATCCTTCATTTATTGTTAATTAATTTTTGTTATTTATTTATTTAGTCTTGCTCTGTTGCCAGGCTGGAGTGCTATCTTAGCTCAAGTTATTCTTCTGCCTCAGCCTCCCAAATAGCTGAGGCAGGTGTGGACCACAAGTGTGCACCACGATGCCCAGCTAAGTTTTGTATTCCTAGTAGATACAGGGTTTCACCCTGTTGGCCAGGATGGTCTTGATCACCTGTCCTCGTGATCCATCTGTCTTGGTCTCCCAAAGTGCTGGGATTACAGGCATGAGCCACTGTGCCCAGCCAATAAATTGATTTTTATTAAATAGGCCAGGATAATGTAGGGGAGAATGGTTTTTCAGCAAGGCACCACGCCCAGCTAGTTTTTTGTATTTTTAGTAGAGACAGGGTTTCACCATATTGACCAGGATGGTCTCAATCTCTCGACCTCGTGATCCACCTGCCTCGGCCTCCCAAAGTGCTGGGATTACAGGCTTGAGCCACTGCGCCCGGCCTTCTCTTGATTTTTTAATAGAATATTGCTGCCATATAATTCCAAGTTTTCGACACATTTAAGAATTTCAGCCGGGCACGGTGGCTCAAGCCTGTAATCCCAGCACTTTGGGAGGCGGAGGTGGGTGGACTACCAGGTCAAGAGATCGAGACCATCGTGGTCAATATGGTGAAACCCCGTCTCTACTAAAAATACAAAAAAGTAGCTGGGCATGGTGGCACATGCCTGTAATCCAAGCTACTCAGGAGGCTGAGGCAAGAGAATTGCCTGAACCCAGGAGGTGGAGGTTGCGGTGAGCTGAGATCGCGCCATTGCACTCCAGCCTGGGTAACAAGAGCGAAACTCCGTCTCAAAAAAATAAAGAATTTCATTCCATTGTTGCTGTATTTTTATTTTATTGGTGAATATAAGTAGACAGGGAGATAAGGTGATGAAGCAGAAAATGAAGGCAGAAAAACAAATTTTCCTTTCTTTTCTGTAGTATAAGCAAAACTTCCCTGAATCCTCTCCTTCCCATTTGTGAAATTGTATCCTGCTTTGCAAGTTTTATAAGTTTATAAATTCATGTATTCTTGTATCTGTAGCTAATAACTAAAAGTTTTTGTTTTTCGTCTAAACAGCACAGCAAAGGTCGTAAGACAGGTGTAAGCAGGGTAAATTGCAGCCATCCAAATGCCATAGTAAAGGATGTGAGATAAGCTGTGCTTGCAACCCAGATAGGGGCCATCTAAACTGTTAGGTGTATTGCTCGTGTAAAGAGACCACCAGGCAGTCTTTGTGTGGGCAACGAGGCCGTTTTACTTCTGGCTTGGGTGCAAGTGGGCCAAGTCTGAGAAAGGAGTTATGCAAAGGGGGTAGGAAAGGGGATTGGTTATATAGGTTGGAGGAAATGGTTAGTTAAAGGTGGTAATCTATTTTAGGGAAGGGGAGGGCGTCATGGGATGCATGGTCACAAGGGTAGGGGTTATGTATTACAAATAGGCATGATCATAAAGTGGGGGTTATGGGGTTGCAATTAGAGGGGAGAGTGCGGCAAATTACATAGTTACAGGGGAGGGGTCTTGAGAAACCCAGTGTCCAGGGGGAAATTTCACAAGGCTGAGCAGGCACAATGGTTGTGTTGTACTGGCCCGAGCATAGAAAGTCAACACCAAGACAAAAGTATGCCAAATTGCAGGGTCTTATTGCTGGTTGCCACAGAGGACTTGCATCTCTCCAACCTGTGGCCCTGAAAGGAGGGTGTTAAGAACTTTTATACCCGTAAAACCACCTCAGGAGTGAGGGTGAGGGGCAGGGGTGGGGGTGAGGGGCTTCAGACGTTCTGAGGGCTAGTGGATTCTGTAAATCACCTCCTGGGCAGAGATGAGGGTGAGGGGCTCCGGACATTCCAGTGGATTCCTGGGCGAAGATGAGGGTGAGGGGCTCCGGACACTCCAAGGGCCAGGGGACTTTTGACATTCTGTTACTTAAGTGGTTCACAAAAGTCAAGATTAGCATTTGTTTACACATTGCCTGGGTAGGGTGGAAATCACAGTCCTTAATTACTTATTCACATTTGGGTTATAGAGAGCAATTTCAACAGAAAGCAGAGGTATGGTTGAGGTATACAGTTTTATGGGGCGTTTACCATGTCACAGTTGCAGGTTTCGGGGAAAGAGCAATTAGTTGAGGCAGGAACAAGCTGTTTCACTTCTGTTGCAGCCATCTGGTTACTTCAGACTTTGTGACTCCTGAGGACCATCCAGAGGCATATGTGTGCATCACCAAGCCTGTAATGGCCAGGCGTGGACTTGGAGGCCTGACATAAACTGCCTTAGTCATATGTAAGCTTAACTTGTAAACCTATAATTTTTTTCTCTTTTGTGATGGAGTCTCACTCTGTTGCCCAGGCTGGAGTGCAATGGCACCATCTCAGTTCACTGTAACCTTCGCATCCCGGGTTCAAGTGATTCACCTGCCTCAACCTCCTGAGTAGCTAGGATTACAGGCTCACGCCACCATGCCCAGCTAAATTGTTTTTTTTTTTTTTTTTTTTGTATTTTTAGTAGAGACGGGGTTTCACCATATTGGCCAGGCTGGTCTCAAACTCCTGACCTCGTGATCTGCCAACCTCGGCCTCGTAAAATGCTGAGATTGCTTCTGCGTTTCATACAAAAAAGTCAAGCTTCATCTTTGTTCCATACTGAGTCTTTTAAATGTAAATCCACTTAGCCCGGTGGGCACCTTAATAAAATACTCCTGTGCCACCCATTGGTCTCTCCAGTCTCCTAATTCCCGTAACAGTGGGAGAAAGGCTTGGCCATGCAGCCAGCAGCCTCATCCCCCATTCCTCATCCCTGGAGGACATCAGAACCCGCCTCTTGCTGCAGTGTGGTCTTTTTGGCCTTCACTCTCCTCCTGCTCAGAGGCCAGGGGACGGCTCCACTGGACAGTGAGTCTGGGATTCCCTGCACACAGCTGTGACCCCCAATCCAGTAGGAAGAAGCTGGAAGGGCCCCCAGACTACTGGCAGAAAAATTTTTTAAAATGCAAATATTACCTGGGAGGGGTCAGGTCACTGCCCAGGAAGGAATCACTCCCCGACTACGCCCTGCCAAAGGCTGTGTCTGGAGTCCGTTCATCCGGTTCCTCCCAGCACTGGGAGATCACTTGTGTCACTCAGTGCAGAGGGAGTAGGACTTGGGAACTATCCAATCAGAGCCGCCGGGCGGAGTCGTGAGAACTGTCAATCAGATTAGGCGCGCTGCCGAGGGCAGTTTGCGTAGTTGAAGAACCTCGCAGTCTTTTCACCTGGTTTCCCTCGCCTCCCTGCTCGCTTGCGCTGGGACCTGTGCTGGCAGCAGGAGGTGGAGGGAGGACCCGGGGCACCATAGAAGCCGGGAAATGGTGAGTGTGCGAGGCTGAGAGTGCCAAGACAGGGCATGGCTGGTTGGAACCGGCTCTTGTGGGACCCGTTTCTCCCCACCGTTTTCTTTGGGGTCTGGGACCTGGAGTCCCCTGGCGCAGCTCGGCCCTCGGTCCCCTCGGCCGCAAGGTGGGTCTGGTCCGGCTGCCTGTGCCCCGGGCGTCCTGTCCCGTCCTTGCGCGACAACTGCGTCCCCGGCCTTGGAACCCTCTCAGGGCAACTCCACGCCCGCAGCCCAGCGTCTCCCCAGATTGTGCCGGGCTGCGGGAGTGTCATGGGGGAATTCGCCTCAGGTGTGGGGCTCGTGTGGGAGGAGCGGTCTGTGGGGTCCCCAGTTCCTCCTTTGTCTCCAGGGGGCTCGGGTTTTTCCTGAGATTTCCAGATATATTCGAAGCAGGGTCTCAAACCCGTGACTGTGGTCCCGGCCTAGCTTCTCTTAGGGCTGCCGGCAAATCCCTGGGTTTCCGGATTTACAGAGGTGACCTCCTCTCTTCAGCTGACCACAGCAATGTCACGTCTTCATCCCCCAGGCTTTGTTTCAAACACACGCCGCTCGCGCCATTGCACTCCAGCCTGGATGACAGAGCGAGAATCCATCTCAAAACCAACCAACCAGCAAACAACAACATCAACAACAAAAAGCAATTATGAGGAAAATTCCTTGCCATTTTCCTTGATTTAAAATGTGATTTGTCCGAACTTTATATAACTGTTGCACGTTTCTTTTGCTTCGTGTTAGAATGGGTTATCTTTTTGCATACCTTTTTATTTCATCTGTCCATATCTTTCTGTTCGAAATGATTTTCTTGTACACATTACTGACCCTTGTTTCTTTAATCTGCTTTGTCAATCTGTCTCTTTCTTTTGTGTATAATAATGATTTAAAGTGGTAATTGATATATTAATATATATGTGTAATTGTTCACTGCTCTTTTTGAAACTTTCTCTTTTTCTACCTTCTGTAGTTTTTGCTTGTTCGTTTGTTTTTTGAGACACAGTCTCCCTCTGTTGCCCAGCTTGGAGTGTAGTGCCGTGATCTCATCTCACTGCAACCTTCACCTCCTTCTGGGTTCAAACGATTCTTGTGCTTCAGTCTCCCAAGTAGCTGGTACACAGGCGCATGCCAGCATGCCCCGCTAATTTTGTATTTTTAGTAGAGACGGGGTTTCACCATGTTGGCCAGGCTGGTCTTGAACTCCTGACCTCAAGTGATCCACCCACCTTGGCCTCCCAAAGTGCTGGGATTACAGGTGTGAGCCATGGCACCCAGCCACCTTCTGTAGTTGTAATTGACTATTCCATGTGATTCTGTTTTCTCTCTATTAGCATATCAACCTACTCATTTCGTCAGTTTTATCAGGGAATTCCCTAGAGTTTGTAGTATGCGTTTACAACTAATAGACCTTTAGTTTCAAGTAACACTGTGCTGGTTTTGAGGGTACTCCTGGTATGTTACACAGTATTCTACATGTCTGTCCCATTCCATGGAACACTATTGTCATTCCTTTGACCTGTTAGAATCTATAACCACCTAGTGCACTGTTGAGATTATTATTTTGAAGACACATTTATATATTAGATCAGACAGGAATAACAGAATGAAGAATTTGTTGTCCCTTCCTTTGATTGTTTAAGAATACTATTTTAAAAACTCAGTTCTGTTGACTGACAAGCCTAGGGTAAAAAATAAATTATTATTATTATTTTTTTTTGAGACAGAGTTTCGCTCTTGTTACCCAGGCTGGAGTGCAATGGCGCGATCTCGGCTCACCGCAACCTCCGTCTCCTGGCCTCAGGCAATTCTCCTGCCTCAGCCTCCTGAGTAGCTGGGATTACAGGCACACACCACCACGCCCAGCTAGTTTTTTGTATTTTTAGTAGAGACGGGGTTTCACCATGTTGACCAGGATGGTCTCGATCTCTTAACCTCGTGATCCACCTGCCTCGGACCTCCCAAAGTGCTGGGATTACAGGCTTGAGCCACCGTGCCCGGCTAAAAAATAAATATTTTTAAAACTCACTTCTGGCCAGGAGTGGTGGCTCATGCCTGTAAATCCCGGCAGGTTGGGAGGCTGAAGTGGGCGGATCACGAGTTCAGGAGTTTGAGACTAGCCTGGCCAACATGGTGAAACCCCATTTCTAGTAAAAATACAAAAATTAGCCAGGCATGGTGGTGCACGCCTGTAGTCCCAGCTACTCAGGAGGCTGAGGCAGGAGAATCACTTCAACCCAAGAGGCAGAGGTTACAGTGAGGCAACATTGCACCACTGGGCCACTGCACTGCAGCCTGGTGACAGAGCAAGTCTCCATCTCGAATAAACAAATTATGGAAGACATAAATAAAGATAGCCCATGCTCATGGATTTCAAGAGTTACTATTGTTAATGTGAGAATATTACTCACTGCAGCCTCTGCCCCCTGGATTCAAGCAGTTCTTTGTCTCAGCCTCCCAAGTAGTTGGGATTACAGGTATGCCCCACGATGTCTGGCAAATTTTTTTTTTTTTTTTTTTTTTTTTTTTTTTTTGAGACGAAGTTTCGCTCTTGTTACCCAGGCTGGAGTGCAATGGCGCGATCTCGGCTCACCGCAACCTCCGCCTCCTGGGTTCAGGCAATTCTCCTGCCTCAGCCTCCTGAGTAGCTGGGATTATAGGCACGCGCCACCATGCCCAGCTAATTTTTTGTATTTTTAGTAGAGACGGGGTTTCACCATGTTGACCAGGTTGGTCTCGATCTCTTGACCTTGTGATCCACCCGCCTCGGCCTCCCAAAGTGCTGGGATTACAGGCTTGAGCCACCGAAATTTTTGTATTTTTAGTAAAGACAGGGTTTTACCATCTTGGCCAGGCTGGTCTAGAACTCCTGACCTTGTGATCCACCCGCCTCAGCCTCCCAAAGTGCTGGGATTACAGGCATGAATCACCATGCCCCTCCATTGACAACATTTTTTTTCATGTAGTCCATGACAATTTTTATTTTATTTTTATTTTTATTTTTTTAAAAAATAAGACAGGGTTTCACCATGTTGATCAGGCTGGTCTTGAACTCCTGACCTCAGGTGATCTGCCCGCCTTGGCCTCCAAAGTACTTGGATTACAGGCATGAGCCACTGTGCACGGCCTAATGACAATTTTTGACCCCAGTTAGATTTCGGTATAGTTGAAACAGAAGAGAGCCTTATTTTAGACTTTTTGTAGTTCCAGGAGAAATTGGAGTATACAAAGATAATATTTGCAAATAAAATAAATACAATATTTGCAAATAAAATGCTGTAACAGGCCACTACGACTGTCCTATTCTACCATTTTTCACTTCTCTTTTTGTTCATCTCTGTCAACAGTGTGGTGTGTTGAATATTATAGTTTCATATATATTAGGTAAACTGCCACTTTCTGGTTTAGAAGATTTTTAGCAATTTTATATATTTGTTACCTCCATTTGTTTTGTTTAAGTAGCTTTTATTGACTACTAAGAGGTCTGTTTTAATGATTCAGGGAATTTTATAAATATTCATGAGAAATGACACCTTGGTGACATGCAGTTCCTTTTGTTTTGTTTTTGTTTTTATTTTTGTTTTTGAGATGGAGTTTCGCTCTTGTTACCCAGGCTGGAGTGCAATGGCGCGATCTCGGCTCACCGCAACCTCCGCCTCCTGGGTTCAGGCAACTCTCCTGCCTCAGCCTCCTGAGTAGCTGGGATTACAGGCACGCACCATCATGCCCAGCTAATTTTTTGTATTTTTAGTAGAGACTGGGTTTCACCATGTTGACCAGGATGGTCTCGATCTCTTGACCTCGTGATCCACCCGCCTCGGCCTCCCAAAGTGCTGGGATTACAGGCTTGAGCCACTTTGCCCTGCCTTCCTTTTGTTTTTTGTTTGAAGACTCAGTGTTGCTTTGTCGCCAAGGCTGGAGTGTAGTCGTGTGATCTCGGCTCACTGCCGTCTCTGCCTCCTGGGTTCAAGCAGTTCTCCTGCCTCAGCTTCCCAAGCAGCTGGGACAGCAGGCACACGCCACCATGCCTAATTTTTGTACTTTTAGTAGAGACGGGTGTCACAGTATTGGTCAGAGTGGTCTCGACTTCCTGACCTCAGATGATCCACCCACGTCAGCCTCCTAAAGTGCTGGAATTGTAGGTGTGAGCCACCATGCCCGGCCTACATGCAGCTCTTTAGAAGAATGTGTATAATCTTTCCCTATCTTTCATTCTCCTTTGTTACCTAATAAAATATTTAAAATTTTTTCTTTAAGATGATGAAATACATTTCATTAGCCTTTTGTTATACTTTATTAAATTTAATCTACAAAACCCAGTTATCAGCTTCCAGCTGTTCTCTTATTGTAATCACATAGGATGGGCTGAATCACCCGGGTAACAAGTGCTGACAGAACATGTGAAATGTTACATACCAAGGTCACTCATTAGATACATAGTGCTTAGAGATTTGTGTGTGTGTGTGTGTGTGTGTGTGTGTGTGTGTGACAGAGTCTCGCTCTGTCACCAGGTTGTAGTGCGCTGGCATGATCTCAGCTCACTGCAGCCTGCGCCTTCCAGGTTCAAGTGATTCTTCTGCCTCAGGCTCCTGAGTAGCTGGGACTACAGATGTGCACCACTATGCCCAGCTGATTTTTTTTTTTTGAAACGGAGTTTCGCTTTTGTTACCCAGGCTGGAGTGCAATAGCATGATCTCGGCTCACTGCAACCTCCGCCTCCTGGGTTCAGGCAATTCTCCTGCCTCAGCTTCCTGAGTAGCTGGGATTACAGGCACACACCACCATGCCCAGCTAATTTTTTGTATTTTTAGTAGAGACAGGGTTTCACCATGTTGACCAGGATGGTCTCGATCTCTTGACCTCGTGATCCACCTGCCTTGGCCTCCCAAAGTGCTGGGATTACAGGCATGAACCACCATGCCCGGCGATTTTTTTTTTTTTTTTTTGAGACGGAGTTTCACTCTTGTTACCCAGGCTGGAGTGCAATGGCGCGATCTCGGCTCACCGCAACCTCCGCCTCCTGGGTTCAGGCAGTTCTCCTGCCTCAGCCTCCTGAGTAGCTGGGATTACAGGCACGCGCCACCATGCCCAGATAATTTTTTGTATTTTTAGTAGAGACGGGGTTTCACCATGTTGACCAGGATGGTCTCGATCTCTTGACCTTGTGATCCACCCGCCTTGGCCTCCCAAACTGCTGGGATTACAGGCTTGAGCCACCGCGCCCGGCCAATTTTTTTTTTTTTTTTTAAAGTAGGGATGGGGTTTCACCATGTTGCCCAGGCTTGTCTTGAACTCCTGAGTTCAAGCAGTCCTCTCGTCTCAGCTTCCCGAAGTGCTTGCATTATAGGCGTGAGCCACTAGGCCCAGTGGCAAATGTTATACTGTTTGAATAAGTAGTTGAGGCATACACAGGTTCTTTTCTTTGCTATATTGATGCAGCTCTCCTTCAATCTGGCTGTGAGATATCATCATAGCCCAAATTTCTAAGTAAGCATGTGTAGGGATATGTTGTCTCAGAACTGCTAATATTGTCTCTCTCTTTTTTTTTTTTTGACGTGGAGTCTTGCTCTGTTTCCAGCCTGGAGTGTAGGGGCACAATCTTGGCTCACTGCAACCTCCAGCTTCCGGGTTCAAATGATTCTTACGCCTCAGTCTCCCAAGTAGCTGGGAGTACAGGCACACGCCACCACACCCAGCTAATTTTTGTATTTAGTAGAGACAGGGTTTCACCATGTTGCCCAGGATGGTCTCCATCTCTTGAGCTTGTGATGTGTCCACCCCAGCCTCCAAAAGTACTAGGATTAAAGGCATGAACCACCGCACCTTGCCAATGTTGTCTCTTATAGACAACACGTAGTAGGACGTTATCATGAGAGTCAGTATAGACCCAGAGATAGTACAGATGCAGAGAGACACTAGAGGTGATCCAGGCAGCATATCTCACGTCCTGAAATCGCGAATGAGAGGCTTGTTCATCTTGGCTGTCACTTTACTGAATATGTTGAGTTCTAGCATCAGAACTGCTGTGTTGGAGAAAATATAGATAGAGGATGAGACATTTAATAAATTTGTAGAGTCTATACCATTTTGTGAACTTCTTCTACCGTGAGTGTAGACTCCTAGAGCTGTCAGTCTTAGCCTTCCTTTTCTGCTATGTGGGATGTTTCAGGACTCAGTGACCTTTGAGGATGTGGCTGTGAACTTTACCCAGGAGGAGTGGGCTCTGCTGGATTCTTCCCAGAAGCATCTCTACAGAGATGTGATACAGGAAACCATCAATAACCTGATGTCTGTAGGTAAGGATGACGTCATTTTTTAACTGAGTCAATTAGATAACAAGTGTTTCTTGGTCGTCTACACTGTTCAGTGATTTGGAGCATGGTAGGGAATACATGGTAGGCTGGGCAGGTGCAGTGGCTGACACCTGCAATCCTAGTCGTTTGGGAGGCCAAGGTGGGTGGATCACTTGAGGTCAGAAGTTCAAGACCAACCTGGCCAATGTAATGAGACCCCATCTCTACTACAAATACAAAAATTAACCAGCCTTGGTAGTGCATGCCTGGTAATGGAAGCCTTTTGAGTAACATAACCAGTCAAGTAATACACATTTTGTATGTTGGTGTGTTTGTATAAGTATATATTAGGATAGTTTCTCACTTTGCTACTGAGGCTGGAGTGTAGGGCATGATCATAGCTCACTACAACGTCAAACTCCTGGGCTCAAGCAGTCCTTCTGCCGCAGACTCTGGAGTGGCTGTGACTGCAGACAAGTTCCACCACGCTGGGCTGATTTTTAAATTATTTTTTTTGGAGATGGGGGGTCTTGGCATGTTGCCCAGGCTGGTCTCAAACTCCTGGCCTCAAGCAGTCCTCCTGCCTTATCCCTAAATGCTGGGATTATATATATAAGCCAAAATGCCTGGCCTGTTTGGTGTATTATATTTGGTATTCTTACAATAAAGTAAGCTAGAGAAATGAAATGTTCAAGAAAATCATAAGGAAGTAAAAACATATTGGCTATTAAGTGGATCATCCTAAAGGAATCCTTTTTGCTGGGCACGGTTGCTCACGCCTGCAATACCTGAACTTTGGGAGGCTGAGGTGGGTGGATTATGAGATCAGGAGTTTGAGACCAGCCTGACCAATACAGTGAAGCCCACCTCTAGTAAAAATACAAAATTAGCTGGACGTGATGCCACATGCCTGTAATCCTAGCTACTCAGGAGACTGGGGCAGGAGAATCGCTTGAACCCGGGAGGCGGAGGTTGCAGTGAGCTGAGAATGTGCCACTGCACTCCAGCCTGGGCTACAGAGCGAGACTGTCTGGAAAAAAAAAAAAAAAAAAAAAAAAACAAATAAAGACATTGAGTAGCCTGAAAAAGAGGAAGGGTTGGTCTTGTTCCCGCTGAGGTAGCTGAGGTTGATAAAGTCTACATATGATTAAACCTATGCCAGGCCGGGCGCGGTGGCTCAAGCCTGTAATCCCAGCACTTTGGGAGGCCGAGGCGGGTGGATCACAAGGTCAAGAGATTGAGACCATCCTGGTCAACATGGTGAAACCCCGTCTCTACTAAAAATACAAAAAATTAGCTGGGCATGGTGGCAGGTGCCTGTAATCCCAGCTACTCGGGAGGCTGAGGCAGGAGAATTGCCTGAACCCAGGAGGCGGAGGTTGTGGTGAGCCGAGATCGCGCCATTGCACTCCAGCCTGGGTAACAAGAGCGAAACTCCGTCTCAAAAAAAAAAAAAAAAAAAAAAAAAACCTAAGCCATTCAAGGTCCCTCCTCCACTTTTTTTTTTCAGACAGAGTTTCGCTCTTGTTGCTCAAGCTGGAGTGTAATGGTTCGATTTAACCTCACTACAACCTCTGCCTCCCGGGTTCAAGCAATTCTCCTGCCTCAGTCTCTCGAGCAGCTGGGATTACAGGTGCTCACCACCACACTCAGCTAATTTTTTGTATTTTCAGTAGAGACAGGTTTTCTCCATGTTGGTCAAGGTGGTCTCAACATCCAGCCTGAGGTGATCTGCCCACCTCAGCCTCTCAAAGTGCTGGGATTACAGGCATGAGCCACTGCACCTGGCCTCAAGCCCATTTTGTTCAAGGGTCAATAATACCTTGTTGAATAAGTCAGGCATGGCCACAGTGTCCCATGAACATAGAATCTAAAAATGTTTTTATAATTTTGTAATAATTTATGATGACTCTTATGGGTCTACATTTTAGGAATAATATGGCAAGGCCAGAACACTGAATATCATTGCAAAGATTCCAGAAGAAATCCCAAGGTAATTTCCATTTACAACATAAAGCCGTGTCTCTTGAGATAGTGTTAGAATGATAGGAAATTGTATTTGTTTACTTATGTATTTCTTTATTTGAGAAGGGCTTACTCTGTCACATAGGCTAGAGGGCAGGGGCATACTCATAGCTCACTGCAGCCTTGAACCCCTGGAATCAAGTCATCTTCCTTTCCTGGCCACCCAAAATGCTAGGATTACAGGCATGAGCCACTGTGCCCGATGGAATTTTAAAGAACAAGGAAGCAATGTGAAGCAGCCCAGCTTAAATTTGTTAATTTTTAGATTGTTTTCTGTGGGGAACATTCCCGTGTGAGACCCCCAAAAGGCGTGAGTCTCACTATACGGTGAGTTTGATCCCAAACACAGTTTCCTACTGGAGGCAGTCGAGCTATCTGGAAATACAGGAACTTAAAGATGAATGATCAGTTTCTAATAGCAACCACAATATCGTTTGGGCCTAAAACTATGCGTTGCTGCTAGACCGAGTGACCCCCTGCCGGCAACGGGTTCCTGCTTTTAACCTTTTTATGACTCTTTAAGAATAAGCCTTAAACCTTACCTGACTGCCTTGTACCCTAGATAACGGTGGTCTCAACATCCAGCCACCATAAGGGATGGCTTTGATTCCTGACTCAGAGATTCCTGAATGGGGAAGTTGAGTTAAGCTGAGTCAGGAGTAGACAAAGGAGAACCCGATTAAAAGATATTCTGATGAGCAAAACCAAAAAAAAACCTTTTCACATCTCAGTTCTAAAACAAGGTCAAACCAGAGATACCTGCAGCCAGGAGGAATGATGTTTGGATGTAAACAAGCTTTGTGAATAATGTTTGGATGCAAACAAACTTTGTGATTGTAGGAAATTCTGTTACTTTTTACAACCACTGATTGCATATCTGACTTCTCTATTGTATAGGCCATGTGAGGCATACATTTGCATTTCCTCTTGCTATGACATAAACCAGAGCCAAGAAAGTGTATTTATTCCTGGCCTTTGAAAAATAAAATTTGCTGTTTAGGCACAGCCTATCAGCCCTCCAGACGCCTCGCTTTCTCTCTCTCTGTCTTTATTAATTTTCCAGGCGTACTCCCTCTTCCAGGTATTGGGACCCTCTTGCAGGTCGAGAGACCCCGGGCAGACGTGTCTACCCGTCCCGGATGGTCCACGACAGTTTTCTCCCAAAATATATAGTTCAATGTGATATAGACATTCAGTGTTTGCAAAATAGTTGCCTTGGAAGCATCATTAAGAAACCCCATAGTGCCGGGCGCGGTGGCTCAAGCCTGTAATCCCAGCACTTTGGGAGGCTGAGGCGGGTGGATCACGAGGTCAAGAGATCGAGACCATCCTGGTCAACATGGTGAAACCCCATCTCTACTAAAAATACAAAACATTAGCTGGGCATGGTGGCGCGTGCCTGTAATCCCAGCTACTCAGGAGGCTGAGACAGGAGAATTGCCTGAACCCAGGAGGCGGAGGTTGTGGTGAGCTGAGATTGCGCCATTGCACTCCAGCCTGGGTAACAAGCAAAACTCCATTGCAAAAAAAAAAGAAACCCCATAGTGGCCAGATGTGGTGGATCATGCTTGTAATCTCAGTACTTTTGGAGTCCAAATAGGAGAACTGCTTGAGCCCAGGAGTTTGAGACCAGCCTAGGCAATGCAATGAGAACTCATCATTACAAGAAATAAAAAAATTAGCTAGTTGTGGTGGTGCATGCCTGTGGGCCCAGCTACTTGGGAGGCTGAGGTAGGAGGATTGCCTGAGTCTGGAATGTGGAGGCTCCAGTGAAGTGTCATCACACCACTGCATTACAGCCTGGGCAAAAGAGTGAGATCATCTTTCAGAAAAAAAAAAAAAAAGAAAGAAAAAAGAAACCACCTACTACCTATAGTAAAAAAAAAAAAGGAAAAAAGAAACCACCTCTCAGCTATAATGGAGCCCCTTTGCTGAGAATTCAGTCCACTTACTTTCAAGCAATTCAGATGGCGTAAAGCCTACATTTCTCACAATAATGTAAAATATGTAAAACAAATGCCTGCTAATAAATATAAAATTATTTATTAACAAACCCTTTGTAATGTGCTTCTTATTTCTTATAGAAATCATATGGCAGAGAGACTCTGTGAATGTAAAGACGGTCAATGTGATGAAACTTTCAGCATTATTCCAGATGCTATAATGAACAAGAAGACTTTTCCTGAGGTAAAACCATGTGAAAGCCATGTGTGCGCAGAAGGCAACATGGATCATTCATCTCTGAATTGCTGCATCAGCACTGACACTGGACACAAGCCATATGAATGTCAGGAACATGGAGAGAAGCCACATAAATGTAAGCAGTGTGTGGAAACCTTCAGCTGTCTCCACTCCTTTCAAACACGTGAAAAGCCTCACACTGGAGAGAAAGTCTATGATTGTAAGAAATGGGAAAAAACTTTCATTTCTTTCCAAACTGTTCAAAGTCACAGGGTAATGCACAGTGGAGATGGACCTTATACATGTATTTGTGGGAAAGCCTTTGATAATCTCAGTTTATATCTCACGCATGTAAGATCTCATACTGGACAGAAGCCATATAAATGTAATGAATGTGGGAAAGCCTTTGAGTTTCTCAGTGACTTTCACAGACATGATGAAAGAACGCACACCAGGGAGAAGCAGTATGAATGTAAGCAATGTGGGAAAGCCTTTCGTCATTCCAGGTCCATTCGAACACATATATAAGAAATCACACTGGAGAGAAACCGTATGAATGTCAGCAATGTGGGAAAGCCTTTAGTAATTCCAGTTACATTAGAAAACATGCAAGAATTCACACTGGAGAGAAACCGTATGAATGTAAGCAATGTGGGAAAGCTTTTAATAGTTCCAGTTCCATTCGAACACATGCAAGAATTCACACTGGAGAGAAGCCCTATGAATGTAAGCAGTGTGGGAGAGCCTTTGCTTTTCTAAGTTCCTTTCAATATCATGAAAGGATTCACAGTGGTGAGAAACCCTATGCATGTCAGCAATGTGGGAAAGCCTTTCGTTGTCCCTGTTCCGTTCGAAGACATGAAATAATTCACACTGGAGAGAAACCGTATGAATGTCAGTAATGGGGGAAAGTCCTTCAGATACTACAGTTCACTTCAAGGACATAAAAATTCACACTGGAGAGAAGCCATATGAATGTGGGGACTGGGGGAAAGCCTTCACTCATCATTATTTGTTTGCATAAACATAAAATTGCCCATACTGCAGAGAAGCCTTATGAATGTTAGGAATGTGGGAAAGCCTTCAGTTATCTCATTCCTTTTTGTAGACATAAAATTACCCATACTGCAGAGAAACTTTGAGTGTAAGGAATGTGGGAAAGCCTTCTGTTAATCACAGTTCCCTTCAACGACATGAAAAAACTCACAGCAGAGAAAAGGTGTATGGATATTTTAAAAGGCCATGCATGGTGCCTCAAGGCTGTAATCCCAGCACTTTGGAAAGCCAAGGCAGGTGGATCATGAGGTCAGGAGTTCAAGACCAGCCTGGCCAAGATGGTGAAACCCTGTCTCTACTAAAAATACAAAAATTAGCTAGGCGTTGTGGCAAATGCTGCTGCTCAGGAGGCTGGGGCACAAGAATTACTTGAAGCCAGGATATGAGGTTGCGGTGACCTGAGAACGCCACTGCACTCCAGCCTGGTGACACAGTGAGACTCCATCTCAAAAAAAAAAAAAAAAAAAGTAAATAATTTTGCTCTTCTACTACCTTCTGAGACCATGAAGGAACTCACACTTGAGATAATGATGTTAGGAACATGGGAGCCTTTCCTTTCTCTCTCAGATGTTTGAAGGCGCTTGATGTGACACGATCATGATTTACCTCGTAACTGTAAGAAACATGGAAAAAGATTTGTTAGTCCTTGTGTATTTTAGATACATGAAATAATTTACTCTGGATAGAAACTGTGAATGTAAAGAATGGGGTTGCCGGGCGCGGTGGCTCACGCCTGTAATCCCAGCACTTTGGGAGGCCGAGGTGGGTGGATCACGAGGTCAAGAGATCGAGACCATCCTGGTCAACATGGTGAAATCCTGTCTCTACTAACAATACAAAAAAAAAATCAGCTGGGCATGGTGGTGTATGCCTGTAATCCCAGCTACTCAGGAGGCTGAGGCAGGAGAATTGCCTGAACCCAGAAGGCAGAGGTTGCAGTGAGCCAAGATCGCGCCATTGCACTCCAGCCAGGGTAACATGAGCGAAACTCCATCTCAAAAAAAAAGAATGGGGTAAAGCCTTGTCTAGTTTCTGTTTCTCTGAAATACTGCCATTTTTCTCAGAGGATTGGTTGCAGCACTTCTTCAGAATATCTAAATTTGAATATGCTCATGTTCTTTATATAAAATGGTATATTTTCCTAGAATCTGAGCACATCCTCCTGTACACTTTAAATCATCTCTAGGTTATCTATAATGTCTAATGCATTGTAAATAATATGAAAATGGTTGTTTCGTTGTGTTATTTCAGGAATTCTGACAAGAAAAAACATCTGTAGATGTTTAATACAGACAACCATCACAGGTCCATCTCTATAGCACATAATAGTATATGCTCGCTACAATGAAATATTTCCTTCTTTTTTTTTCCCCCTGATATGGAGCCTTACACTTTTGCCTGGGTTGGAGTGCAATGGTGTGATCTTGGCTCACTGCAGTCTCCTCCTCCTGGGCTCACATGGTTCTCCTGCCTCAGCTCTCCAAGTAGCTGTGATATGTTGCCCAGACTGGTCTTGAACTCCTGACCTCACGATCCGCCCACCTCAGCCTCCCAAAGGGCTGGGATTGCAGACGTGACTCACAGTACCCAGCCAACAATTTTTTTTTTTTTAAAAAAGGCCCTCAGCCCAAAAGCTGTTGGCCTCTGAGGCTCTCAGCTTGGAAGGCTGTTGGCCCTTTGGGAAAAACAAAAAAACAGTTGTGGATTGGTTTCATTTAATGGCCTGAAAGTGTGTTTTTGTTTTTGTTTTTTTTCTAAAGATGGGGTTTCACCATGATGGCCAGGCTGGTCTTGAACTCCTGACCTCAGGTGATCCACCCACCTCGGCTTCCCAAAGTGCTAAGATTATAGGCGTGAGCCACCGCGCCCGGTGAAAGTGTGTTTTAACACTCTCCTAATCCCTGGCTCTTTCTTGATAACCCTCATATGGTGATTGCTCTGTGGTTCCTAAAGCTGCAATATTTTGAGGTGCTGAGATATGTGGCAGTGTAGATAAATCATGGGACATCAGTTTAACTTGAAGTTTGTAACAGGACATCAGGAGGATCATCTGCTAGAAGAATCAACATCCGATGCAGAAGTTGCCTCTTTGGTGGAAGGTCAGTAACACAGATGTTGGATTTGTGGTGTTTGAGGGCTGAAAATTTCAGCAATGATGTTTTACTCTTTTTTTTTTTTTTTTTTTTGAGATGGAGTCTCACTCTGTTGCCCAGGCTGGGGTGCGTTGGTGAGATCTCAGCTCTCTGCAACCTCCACCTCTCAGGTTCAAGCAATTCTGCCTCAGCCTCCCTAGTAGCTGGGATTACAGTCACACCCCACCATGCCCTGCTAATTTGTTTATCTGTAGCAGAGACAGGGTTTCACCATGGTGGCCACGCTGGTCTTGAAATTCTGACCTCAGGTGATCCACCCGCCCTTGCCTCCCAAAGTGCTGACATTGGCGTGAGCCACTGTGCCTGGCCGAAGTTTCAGTCTTCATAATTGTAGATGCTTTAGTTAGAAACATTGTTAAAGGAAGCCGGGCGCGGTGGCTCAAGCCTGTAATCCCAGCACTTTGGGAGGCCGAGGCGGGCGGATCACAAGGTGGGTGGATCACGAGGTCAAGAGATCGAGACCGGCCGGTCGCTGTGGCTCACGCCTGTAATCCCAGCACTTTGGGAGGCCGAGGCGGGCGGATCACAAGGTCAAGAGGTCGAGACCATCCTGGTGAACATGGTGAAACCCCGTCTCTACTAAAAATACGAAAAATTAGCTGGGCATGGTGGCGCATGCCTGTAGTCCCAGCTACTCAGGAGGCTGAGGCAGGAGAATTGCCTGAACCCAGGCGGCGGAGGTTGCGGTGAGCCGAGATCGCGCCATTGCACTCCAGCCTGGGTAACAAGAGCGAAACTCCGTCTCAAAAAAAAAAAGAAAAAAGAAAAAAAAAAGAAACATTGTTAAAGGAAAAGCTGTATTTTCTATTTATTTGAATCATCAAACACATCTTGCAGTGGTTTTGGCCATTTTGTTATCTCTCTGGTGACCTGGAGGCTGTGTTTTCTCAAAGGAACTTTTCAAATACTTGTGCCTATTGAAAAGATGCTGCAGATCTTTCAAGTGTCCAGGTTGATCACGGTGCCTCTTCTCAGTCTTCTGGATCATTATCATCATCACCAGTGTGGAGGATTTCAGCAAGTCTTTGAGTTCTTTGTTGGAAGTGGTTTTTCTTTGCTGTTCTGTGTGTTCCTCAACACTGTACTCAGTTATCTCAGAGAAACTGAACTGTAAACTATGTTCCATCATCTAAGATACTCCTGGCCAGGTGCAGTGGCTCACACCTACAATTTCAGCACTTTGGGAGGCTGAGATGGGAGAGTTATTTGTGGCCAGGAGTTTGAGATGAGCCTGGGCAATAGTGAGACCTCATCTCTACAGAAAAATACAAATATCGGCCGGGCATGGTGGTGCATAACTGTAATCCCTCCCAACTCTGAGAGGTAGAGTCAGGAGGATCACTTGAACTTAGAAATTTGAGGCTGCAATGAGTTATGATCACTTCACTGTACTCCAGCCTTGGTAACAGAGCAAGACCCCATTAAAAAGAAAAAGGAGGGGCTGGGTACGGTGGCTCACAACTGTAATCCCTGCACTTTGGGAGGCCGAGGTGAGTGGATCATTTGAGGTTAGGAGTTCTAGATCAGCCTGGCCAACATTGTGAAACCCCATCTCTACTAAAAATACAAAAATTAGCCGGGCGCGGTGGCTCAAGCCTGTAATCCCAGCACTTTGGGAGGCTGAGGCGGGTGGATCACGAGGTCGAGAGATCGAGACCATCCTGGTCAACAAGGTGAAACCCCGTCTCTACTAAAAATACAAAAAATTAGCTGGGCATGGTGGTGTGTGCCTGTAATCCCAGCTACTCAGGAGGCTGAGGCAGGAGAATTGCTTGAACCCAGGAGGCGGAGGTTGCGGTGAGCCGAGATCGCGCCATTGCACTCCAGCCTGGGTAACAAGAGGGAAACTCCGTCTCCAAAAAAAAAAAAAAAAAAAAAAACCACAAAAATTAGCCAGGCGTGGTGGTATACCTGCTCAGGCATTAGAATTGCTTGAACTCGGGAGGCAAAGGTTGCAATGAGCTGAGATCACACCACTGCACTCCAGCCTGGACAACAGAGCGAGACTCTCAAAAAAAGAAAAGGAGAAAGTCTCAGGTTGAATTGAAGATAATGTTATTGTTCATTGGAGTGGAGATGATCCTGTAATATGACAGAAAATGTGCTCCTGTGCTAGTGTTGTGTGGAATACAGAATTAACAGGTAAGGAAAGTAGATACTGAATTTGTAATATTTCTAGGAAGTGTTGAAGAAGCAGCAGCGTTCTTGACTGTGTAGTAAAACATTAGAGCAGTGATGGAGATTGAATTTTTAATGTTAAGAAGGAAGTAGAACTTACAGATTTGGAAAATTCTCAATGTATCTGTATTACAAAGATGAAAACACATATTGGGAAGAGAACATGAAGAGTGTGTCCGGGGCACCTTTGATTGGATTATTAGGACAGGTGTGAACCATAGGCCTATTCAGCCACTTGAGCCATAAAACAGCCATTTTGAACTGAAACAAGGTGGTAGGAAGAAATGAAGGAAGGTTATTGGCTATTTCCCATTTTTCAGGGAGGTTTCATAGAGCTACTCAGCTATGAATATCTCATATTCTTTTTATTTTTTATTTATTTTCTGAGACAGAGTCTCACTCTGTTACTCAGGCTGGAGTACAGTGGCATGATCTTGGCTCACTATAGCCTCCACTTCCCAGGTTCAAGCAATTCTCCTGCCTCAGCCTCCAGAATAGCTGGGATTACAGGAGCATTCCATCATGCCTGGCTAATTTTTGTATTTTTCTTTTCTCTTTTTTTTTTTTTTGAGACGGAGTTTCGCTCTTGTTACCCAGGCTGGCGTGCAATGGCGCGATCTTGGCTCACTGCAACCTCCGCCTCCTGGGCTCAGGCAATTCTCCTGCCTCAGCCTCCTAAGTAGCTGGGATTGCAGGCACGCGCCACCACACCCAGCTAGTTTTTTGTATTTTTTAGTAGAGACAGGGTTTCAGCATATTGACCGGGATGGTCTCGATCTCTCAACTTCGTGATCCACCCGCCTCGGCCCCCCAAAGTGCTGGGATTACAGGCTTGAGCCACTGCGCCCAGCCTAATTTTTGTATTTTTAGTAG